GATTATATTTATTTGAGAGAGAGAGAGAGAGCACAGTGTGGGGGGGAGGATCAGAGGGAGAAGCAGACTCCCTGTTGAGCAGGGATACCGATGCAGGACTCAATCCTGAGACTCTGGGATCATGACCTGAGCTGAAGGCAGTCACTTAACCAACTGAGCCACCCAGGCACCCTAGGATATACATATTTTAAAGCTGTTTTACAAATAAGAACAGCCCTGCAGTTCGTTGAAATATCCTTTTTTATACTTTACTACTTGTGGGGGAATCTGTCCATTTCTAACACCCTGGCCAGTACTGGGCTGGTGGTCCCTGAGGGATTCTAGCTTTCCTAAGAAAAATAGCAGTGAGATAGTGAGGGGTTCTCACTAATCTGGGGAATTTACAAGTGCTTTTTTTTTTTGGTTGAAGTCATTTCTCCAAAATTTGGCGGTATTAGAAACAGTGGAGAGAGTTCCAGAGTTTATTTGAGAGATATGTCAAAAGCTCTCAAGTTATTGTCTTAAAAAACAATGTTAATTGTATAAATTATTAGTCCCCTCCCCATTCTGTCCTCCATTTGGACACAGATGAGGAATTTTGATGGTGCATATGTATAGCTCTGTGTGTTTGTGTTCATAAAAATTGTTGTCAGCATTCATTAACACACAGACAGTTTCATATGAAACTTTCATTATGCGACTCATTTTTTCCAGGCCCGAATCAGAGCTACAGCCATTCCTTAGGAGATGTGAAAATTGATGTATGACTTGAATTAAGCACCTGAATGATGTCTTGGCATTGATGTTGCCTAGCACCCACAGTTGACAATGGATTTGTGGATTTTATTCATTTAGTTAAGTGTGTATTACTTGAGTGCTGAGTGTTTCTGACGTGGGGTGAGGCACACCGGAGAAGGTGTGTAGGGGAAAATACAAAGATGGATATGACAGTTTTGGGCTATGTGTGACCTTTTTTGAACTTCATCTTCACACAAAAGATGACTTCGTTTGTTTTTTTGAAAGTAACTTTGTTAACCTCTGTGGGCATGGATTCTCAGCTCTAACTTCACGCTCTTAATTCTAAGAATTTGGTGTCTCTCGTAAACCTTGGCTGTTCTGGAAGGCCTGAGCCAGGCCAAGCTGATGAGCAGCTAAGTACAGGTCACACGGTGCGTGTCCTGCACTTCACCTTGGACAGAGGCCACAGGGAGGAGCCAACAGCTCTCTGGACAGAAAGAAGCTGCTCCGTGTGGTCTTGGGGCCCCAGCTGTGAAGTCCGCTGGGTCTCCCCAGATCATCTGCCCGATTTCTTGGATTCTGCACTCCGCAGAGTGCAGGGAGTTCCAACTGGAACAGCCCTTCTGGGGCCCGGCCAGAAATTTGCATCATGAACCCGGAAGAGGTCGGTCCTCTTGGGCTTTGTCAGCGGTTGTGCAGCAGAAAATTCCTTACACTGGATCTTCCCCCTTCCCAGTGCTCTTTGCTTTGTCCCTGGGTCTTTGTCTATCTGTGCAGCCATACCCCAGCAGACTCCAAGTCAAGGGTGCATGATAGTCCAGTGAGGCCAAAGAAGAGACCCAGAGACAGCAGTCGAGACAGGTTGATTGGGGAAAGTTGTAAACAAGGAGGACCGAAGCAGTGAAGAAAGCGTCGGCTGCTGGGATCTCTGTGCAGCTAGCTTTGACAGCACAGCAGCTTAGCCTGGCAGCTATCTTCGGCCTCTCCCTTCTCACATGGCCAGCGTTCCAAGGAGATCAAGGCCTGCCATCTGGACACCCTTCAGTGCAAAGGAGACGCTCTGGGCTGGGCATCTCCAGGAGCCCCTGACCCTGAAGCCTGGACAACACATTCTTCTACACATTCTGCTTGATGGGAATATAGAGGGAGGTGGGATCGGTATGTTCTCAAGATAGTGATTAACAGGGACGTTCAGGGTGAGCTTGCCCAAGCTAGCTATTCAGTATCACCCTGGAAGCAAAAATGGAAACAAGAGAAGGTCTCACAGCCTGTTTAGAGAGGAGATTGTCTTCTGCCAGGGAACAGAATTCTGTACCTTGATTCAGGTGAGAGGCTTCTGGCTACCCTGAAATAATAAGCCTTTCTAGACTCATTTGTTCCTGGCCTATTTCTTTTAAAAATGAGTATATTGAGAGAGAGACAGACAGACAGAGAACACAAGCAGGGGGAGTGGGAGAGGGAGAAGCAGGCTGCCCGCTGAGCAGGGAACCTGACACAGGGCTCTATCCCAGGACCCCGGGATTATGACCTGAGCCAAAGGCAGATGCTTAACGACTGAGCCACCCAGGTGCCCCCAGGGGAAAGACTTTTATACAGAAGAGGAGGAAGCAAAACAAAGCAATTATTTGACTGGCTGCAACTTAGAGTCTGGCTGGATGTTTGTGATTGGTTGTCCATAGATAGCATTTTTTGTTTTTTGTTTTGTTTTGTTTTGTTTTCAACCTTGTAGCATTTACAGGCTTAGATTTTGGTTTGCTTATATAGGCCTCCAGCCTCAGGGCCACCCCAGTTAATGGCCTCCTTGTTTAATTAACTGAACAGTTCCCTACTTACTGGAAGAGTGGCAAGATCAAGTCTCACACTTGTCTCTCTTGTGTCCGGATATCACCTTTGCACCAGGTGTTCCTTCTTTTTCTGATCTCGTTCCATAAGAAATGATTCCTTAAGGGTTTCCTTTTCTCTCCTGATTTTGGCCCGTTTTAAGATGATAGGTCAGCCGCTTTTAGAATTTCCTCCAGTTTGGGTTTGTTAAAAGGGAATTCATTACAGGTGATTTTTAGAAAACAATAAAAGCCTGGCTCTCACACAGATATAAAACTGGACACGTGTTCAAACAATTCTACTCCTGTGAGGTGAGGGAATGGGGCAGATGTTTTAACGGTTTCAAAGGAGAAGTCAAAAGGGCACCAATTCATGTGAAGCAAAGGGATGTTGAAATCAATTGTAAGTTGAGGCAAACTGCATTTTCACCTGCAAGGAGGAAGTCCATAAAATCACTGCGAGATGGGACTACATGTACATATTCACCAGCTGCCTACACTTAGAGACAACTGGGCTGGTGTTTGAGAACTGGGAAGAGAACGCAGTTTCCCATTGGAACACAGGTGTCTTTATCTGCAGGTTTATCCTGTGTTGATTTGTTGTTGTAAACCCATATTGTACGTCTTTGGCTGGAATATCACCAATGCTTGTGGTTTCTCCATTACAGCCTGTGGATGGACTCAATGTCTTATCACTGGTGTTCACTTTGACCACTTAAGAGAGCACTTTCCGGGAGTCTCTCCTGTAACACGTTTACCTCACCTTGTAATTAATTAATAAATAATTTTGGAATGGTTGTGGGCTGGAGGATAGAAAAGAGTACAAATCAGATTTGAATGTTTTCCCCCAGAGATTTGGCTCTGCAACAGTATCAGCACACCACTCTTTGAAACAGTGGACTCATTTGGTCCTGTTTAATTCAGTATGCTGTGATCTGCCACTGTTATTATTTATTTTGGTGCGCAGTCTGTCCCAGATTTAGCTATGGAAGCTTCAAGCAGCATTCCATGCCCTTCTGACCTGTCTCCCATTATTCTCTGGGCACTTTGTTCCTTTCTGGCTCAGGGAGCTGTTCCAGGCTTATCTAGAACTTTCCTTACTTCAGTTCTGGCAGGAGTCATTTCTACAAGGAAACCAGTTCCTTTTAGTGGATGGTAGTGCTCAGCCCCTGGGAGGGGGCCCACCCTCTGCTCAAGTGTGCCTCCCTGTGGTGGGCTGGTCACCTACTACTTCTACCCTGCCCAGAGGCTTTTTGAGGGAGAGAAGGAAGGAAGCTAGTAAGTTGGTTTTTTTTTTCAAAGACAGGTCAAGGTGGGGGATGGGAGGAGGAAGAAGATGGCTATATGCATTTTTTTATACCTCCTCCCTTCCCCTGATTTACCAAACACAAGATCTGATCTCCTGTGGTCAGTTAGGTTTCTGAAGTGGTTACATTTTATGTGGATGAAAATGAAACTTCACTTCATCTGAAGAGCCAAATCATTCATCAGCTGCTTATTATCTACTCTGCACAGACCTGACATAGTACTCAGTCACGGTTAAGGCCTCTGCCTTTAGGGGGCTGGAAGAACAGTGAGATGTCCTACCTAAGTCATACTACAGCTGATGTTTCTCTTAGCACGTGGGGGTAAGAGTGCCGCCCTCGGTCTGGTCAAGGAAGGGGAATCAGAGGTCAGGAAGGGTTCCCAGAGGAGCCTAGAAGCTGGGGAATTTGGAGTAGAACTTAGCTAGTTGGACAAGCTGGTTAGATGGGAAGGGTATTCAAAACAGAGGGAAGAACATACTTAAGACCAGAGAAATATGGCAGACTGGAGGGATGGGAAGTGGTTTGATAGGATGAACATCACTTGTTTCTTCATCTTCTTGACCTCAGTTTTTAAAGAAGCATAGTGGTCCTTTCTTGCATTTTTTGCAGGGTACTATCACAGAGTTCCATCTGTTGTCCAAGACTAGTGCAGTATCTTGTGATACCTTCCCTGCAAAGAGGCAGTCTTTTCTCAAGAAAAGTCAAAGTGGAATTAGTGGGCATTTTCCCAAAGAAAGATAATCAATTATTTATTCAGTGTTGAGCTTATACTTAAGAATTGGTCTAGTACCTTTTGGCTCCACTTTTTTTTTTTTTTCCATTGAAAATATGCCCGGTCTTATATCTAGGGATTTTCTCCCCTCTGAACACATACTCACTCTGATCTAAATGGAGTGTTCTGGTTGCCTTTACTCTTAAATTAATGCAGCGGGTTGGTTACAGTAGTTTAGTTCCTATCTTTTGATTGTTTCTTATCATTGGGGGAATACCAGTTTATTACTTTGAATAATGTTTTGAAATGAATAAAGTCATTTACATCATGGCAGTTACATCTCCCCTATACGTAATCCTGACCTTTCTTCAAGATATGTTCTTTGTGTAAAAATTATTGCTTTCAAACATGCTCCTCATATGTTTTTTTTTTCAAATTTTGCAGACGATACCAGAAATTGCAGAAGATCATGAAGCCTTGGTAAGAATTTATGATCAATTAATATAGACGATGTAACACTTCTTCTTCTCTGCATAATTAAACCCTGTCCTCTGACTGACCTTATAACTATGCATCTAGATATTTTGAGTAAGTGATTTTTTTTTCGCTTGTTTGATATTCTTACTAACAGGTTCTTCAAAAATTTATCCCCCCCCACTTTTCTTTTGGTTGGTCATCAGAGGATATTTTATGTTTGTCGCCACTCAATGATTAAAACAGAATTGCTATCCTTCTCCGGGAGCAAGGCTAGGCATAATTTTATGTATTACTTTAAACAAAAACTTCCTTTTTTGTGGCCTCTCTGATGTTCAAAGTTAAAAGTCTTTGATTTTCTTCAGTGGCTCAGTATGAAAAAGATCCACATTAAAAAAAAAAAGTTCAGGATTGAAGTATGGTATGAAAATTATTTACTCGGAGTCTCAGAAAAAGTGTTCAGTCCCCTCTCAAGTGAATTGCATGATAATTGTGTCTGGAGATCTCAGAACTTCTTTCTTAGCGCTTTTCCTCATCGGTGCCTTTCTTGTCCACTGAGGAAGGTGAGTCCAAACAGGGTCTAACAAACTCTCTCCAGTGGGCAGAACAAATTTCCATTTTGCCAAGTTGTTAAGCAGATAATTTCAATTTGAGAAGCAAGACTGAGCAACATCTGAAAATGTGTGTCTTATTTTTTCAGTCCTCAGAGAAAATTCCAATCGCCTTCAAGTGCATAAAACTGGTCTCAGTCATTCACCTTCCCCTACCCTTCCACATAGAAAAGAAAGTATATACTCCTTAGTTACTAAATCCTAATAAAGTGGAAAGCACTACTGAGTTTTTAGGGTAAAAATTTTTAAATATTCTTTTGATATATGTATTTAATATAGTAGGCACACTTAATGGTAATGGCAATAGAAGCCCTCTTTTATGAGAGTTTGTTCTGGGCACTGTCTCAATGTTTACACTCATTACTTTTTTTTTTTTTTTAAGATTTTATTTATTTATTTGACAGCTAGAGATCACAAGTAGGCAGAGAGAGGAGGAAGGAGGCTCCCAGCCGAGCAGAGAGCCCGATGCGGGGCTCGATCCCAGAACCCTGGGATCATGACCTGAGCCGAAGGCAGAGGCTTTAACCCACTGAGCCACCCAGGCACCCCTACACTCATTACTTTTAATCCACACTTCTATCCACCGCACAAGATCAGTATAATGAGAATTACTTCATTGACGCAGAAGTTAAAATCAGGTGGTGGAGATGGGACTCAAACTGAGTTTTTCTCTAGCAACCTCGTACGACTTGCTAGTGTCGAAGAATTTGGGGGCTCTGAAGCCAAAGTAATTTCTTAAAATTTATCTGCCAATAATTTTAATCTTTTGGTATGTAGGGATGCTGGAAGTGTGACTACATGTGAACCATGATTTTCATTTATCAAGCATAGAATAAATCAGTGTTCAGGGCCTTCATTCTGGTAATGGCAGAATATCTTAATTAGACTAATATGGATAGCAATTACAGAATCTGGACAAAATAGTGTAAACAAAAACACCTAAAAACAACTGCTTGAAGGAACTGGATAGCAACCCAAAGGAGACAGAAAGAAGGAAGTCAACCCTTGGAAGAACAAATGAGTCTCAGATGAGATTTATGTGTTTGTAGCTTTTCCCTGAAGATCCCTGCTCCGTAGTTAAAATGCATGGAGTGGCTGAAAGCCTGAGTCTTGGTAGGACACTAAGAAGGTATAGTTTGGGGCTGATGGAGCAGCTACCTCATGAGGGGAAATCCATGAAAGGAGGGAAGTTCAGAGGATATGAGACCCTATATCTATATACATCCACCTGTAAAATCGGCCCAAGTCAGTAGTGTGAATGTGTGTGAGAAACCAGGGGGCCTGGTAAAAACAGCAACTGGAAATGAAAAGAATTGAGAAGAGATTTAAACTGCCATTCACTACGAATTTGGGAGTTTGATTCTAGCTAGGTTTGTTCCTGCTCTAACAAAACATTCTTCAGAAGAATAAAATTGAAATTTTGAGACTTGGCGGTCTTTTATTCCCAGTGTTCAGAATATAATAAAAAAAGAAACAACTAGATATGTGAAGAAGAAGAAAAGATGACTCATTCTTAAGAAAAACAAAATAAAGCAAGTACCAGAATCTGAGTCTGAGATGACCCAGGTGTTGGAATTAGCAAATGAAGATTCTAAAGCAACGTTTGTAACTATATTAAAAGAAGAAAGTATTTCTGTGATGTGTGCACAGATGAGAAGTCTTAGCAGAGAAATGGAAACCATAAAAAAATAACCAATTGGAGATTATAAAACTGGAAAGTGTAATACTTAAAATGACAAATTCACTGTATGGGAGTTGAAGATAGCAGAAGAAATAGTAACCTTGAAGACGTGTCAGTACAAATTGTTCAGTCCGAAGAATAGATAAAATGAATAGAGAGTAATTGATCTGTGAGATTATAACAATTGATTTAAACCACATTTAATGCGGGTCTCAGAAAGAGAGAAGAGAATGAAGCAGAAAAATATTTGAGGAAATAATGACAGTTTCCAAAATTTGTTGGAAAACATAAATTTATAGAGCTAAGAAGCTCAGTGATCCTAAGTGGGTTAAGTAGGAAACTGTTATCTGGAAACATTATGGTCAAACTTTTGAAATTTAAGGAATTTTATTTATTTAGATTGAGTGTGAGCTGGGGGGTGGGTGGGGAGAAGAAGGGCAGAAGGAGAGAGAGAATCCCAAGCAGATGCTCTGTTGAGCATGGAGCCGGACCCTGGACTCGATCTCATAACCCTGAGATCATGACCTGAGCCAAAACCAAGAGTTGGATACTTAATCAACTGAGCCGTGCAGGTGCCCCCAGCACAATATCATTTTTTAAAAGGAAATTGCAAACCAATCCTAAAACTGAAAGGAAATGTGTAGGACCTAGAATAGGCAAAACAGTCTTGGAAAAAGCAACAAAGATGAACCAAGTTGGAGGATTTCATTAACTGACTTCAAGACTTCTATAAAGTTACTAACACACTGGGAATTTGCTATAAGGGGGTAGACAGATCAAAGGAACAGAACAAAGTCCAGAACTGATTTGCAGCTAAATTTTTAACAAAGGAGCCAAAAGAACGTTTGCACACGAGTCAGGCTATGAAAATGAAGGCCAAGGGTGATTTAGCAATTTTTAACCTTTTATGTGTATAATTTTTACCACATACAAGAGAAAACATTTGGAAAAATTCAAAGGGCAAGGCAGAACTGTATTCATTAACTTTGGGAATTAAGGATATAGTGAGTATGATTTATTGATAAGTTTAAAAGTGGCCTTCACTTCCATCTTCTCTCCACCTCTGCCCTGGGAATGGCCCTCAGTCAAAACATTTGGAGGCACTATTCTTTTATAAATTTAGCTGCTTAAATTTGAAACGCTTCAAGATTGGCTTTATTTAGTTGGAATGAAGATGGTCTCTACTGAGTTGATGAGAAACATTTATTTGAATCATTCCAACACACATGGTGTGTTGGCTGTGACATGTCTCTCACCAGAATGTAAGTTTGCAGTCGGCTTAATTTGTGGCAGTCGGTACTGCAAAATCTTTAGCTTAGCACTTTATAAAAAAACAAATAAAGCAAACAAATAAAAGTGCTGCTGCATGTGCCATGTGGTTGGGTTTTACTCAAAACCCTTTTAGCCTTGATCTTGTGCGCGTGGCATTGACTTGGAAAGAGAGCCTTTCTCCTGCCTTTGCCTTTGGAGCCTCAGTCTCTCCTCTAGGGGTGAGAGTCAACATCTATGTTGGGGTTCGATAAGAGCTTTTATAGCTGCATTATTTGAAATTAGATGATTGATTTAGAATGTAATAAAATTTTAGCATGGCCATTTCTCTTTTCAATTGAGGATTTGAGTTTGAATTAAAAAAAAAAAATTCTCTCTTGTGGAAACCTAGTATGCCATCTAGCAACCAGTCACAGAGAATTATATTTATGTTCTATATGCACTCTCTCTATATGTAAGAGTATTATATATGTGTGTGTATATTTTATAATGTAATAAATAATATAACACCTATATTTAATAATATCTTTATATGATATAATATAAAATGGAATTGTATGGTCTGATTACATATACAATATATTTTTTTTAAGATTTTATTTATTTATTGGACAGACAGAGATCACAAGCAGGCAGAGCAGTAGGCAGAGAGAGAGAAGGAAGCAGGCTCTCCACTGAGCAGAGAGCCCGATGCGGGGCTCGATCCCAGGACCCTGGGATCATGACCTGAGCTGAAGGCAGAGGCTTTAACCCACTGAGCCACCCAGGTGCCCCACATATACAATATATTTTAAAATATGTGTATAAATAAGATATTATTATATAATATTTCTATAAAATATGAATACAAATAATACAACACTTATATACAATGTTATTAGATGGACCAAGGGAGCTATCCCTACTCTGGGCATCTTAGTGTGTGATGTGGAAGGAGCTTCTCCCACTTACCAATTAGTCATACTTATGGAAGACAGCAAAGCCCAGAAAGGCCTATCAACAGTTGCAGAAATGGCACTCCACCTCCTTCACAACCATGGAGATTGAAATCCTGGGCCCAAAAGCAAAGATTGCAGATTTGGAAACCAAGTGATACCTTTTCTCTTTCTCTCCATCTTTCCTCCCAAGTCCTTGCAGCCTGTCTGAGGAGTCCACGGGCAGAGTTCCAGAGTATTTGAGGAAGCAGGGCAATCCCTAGGGCTTACTAAGGTCACTCAGAGTATGGGCCCTTCCAGTGGGGACCAGGGTCATTTTACCTTCGGATAATTAGAGAGCATAAATTACTTATATTTTGTTTCTAAAGCAGCTAAGGAAGACGAACACCCTCTCTGTTATCAGCCTCAGCTAGCTCCAGGGGGTGTAAAGAAGGGTTTGATTGCAGTAGTGTGTGCTTTCCTTTGTCACTGTCTCAGTGCTGGTGCTGTTGAGTGACAAGATGAGGCCGTGTTTCCACTGTACGGAGGCAGCGGGTGCCATTCTCCAATGTCATTTACATGGGAGTCTTGTAGAGTTGAGATCTTTGAGCTTGCCAGGTGTAAGCAAATAGCAACAATTAGTTACTATATGCTTGTTTTCCCCCTTTTTAAGCAAAAAAGAAAATAAATTAGCTGATAATGGTGATGACTAATGTTATAATAAAGTAATACATTAGCTAATACTGTTTACTGTGAGTACTGTACATTATCATGTAATAACGTTTTCACAGCAATACTAATGCCGACACACTTTATTAATAAGTCTTACTAATTGCTTTTATACCTGACTTTCTTATTTTCCTGAGGCAGTTTCTTTTTTTGTTTTGTTTTGTTTTATTTTTCCCCCACAATCTGACATCTGGATTTTCTTGTGATTCATTGTAGAGTCATTTCTGGATTTTTTTGGTAACCTTTCTTGCTACTCTTTTTAACCCCTTTTTCATCTTTCTACTGGTTATATATTCTGCTTCAAGTACGTTTGGGTTTTTTGATTTGGAATTTATGTTGGGGGATGTGCCACCTGGGGAATCACCTGTGAGATTGGTATTGCCAGTCTGTGATTCAGAGAAGCCTTTAAAAAAAAGTAGTTCTTGCCTGAATGGTTTGGCTTTCCTTGTTTTCCCCTCCCACCCACCCAACACCCTCCCCCACCCCCACTGCCCCCTGGCTCCAAGGACAGAGAATCCTTGACAGAACGAAGGCAAACATTTGAAGATCTTGGACTGTGTTTACCTTCCTACAAGATCACTTTTGTGTAATGGATCACAGCTAACACATGTTGCTACTATGCTACACACTGCGGGAAGGGCTTGAAGCCTGGTGGCTTGTTCTGTCCCCCCAGAAATCCCCGAGTCAAGTATGACCACCACCACTGTCAGTAAGGAAACTGAGGCACAGCCTGAGTCAGTAATTTGCCCATCGAGTGCTGGAGAGGAGACTGCTGTCTGACTCCACGGAACGGTGTCTATCCGTTCCATCCCATCCTCTCTGATCTCTGGCAGCTTCGGATCACGGTCTTCTCCTGACAGCCTCGCAGCCTCCCAAGTGAGGCGGAATTCCCAAGGTCATGCCCGAGGTCATGGGCCCCTCTCAGGAAACTGACGAAGCTGCTTTCAAAGAAGGGGGAGTCTGTTTTCTGTTCTGTTAGCACAAAATAGATAATAGCACAAAATATTCTAAATAGCACAAAACAGTCTAAGCATTCCATGAGCCTTTGTAGTATAGCAGTTGTGGCATGACGGAGTCTAGAGATTCAAAATCTGAGCAACCAGCTTCGTTTATTTATTGTTTTAAATCAAGCGTGTGAATCTGTGAGGTTGTGTGCGGTGCAGACATCCTGGTGGGCCTCATTCAGGGTACTTGGAGAGAGTACTCCCTTTGAGACTTAGCATTGATGATGACGATGATTTACAGTAGAGGTGAGTTTCTGTAAAAGATTCTGAGTGTCTGTTAAGTGTTGTTTTGAGAACATTAGAAACCAGGGTATTGTCTGATCAGGGACAGGAGTGGAGCTGTTTTAAAAGGATAGTGCTTTTGCCTGAGTGTGTCTGATCTCTGTTTTGATTTCTAACCCACACATTAGACCCTCCAGACAGCCCTCCAAATCACAGCAAGTCTATGGCCAGCAAATAATGATTATTTTCACAGATAGTCTATAATAAAGATAAAGTGCGGTATGCCTGGGTAACGCAGTCAGTTAGGTGGCTGCTTTTGGGTCAGGCCATGATCCCAGGGTCCTGGGATTGAGTCCCTGCATCAGGCTTCCTGCTCAGTGGAGAGCCTGCTTCTCCCTCTCCCTCTGCCTGCTGCTTCCCCTACTTGTGATCTCACTCTGTTAGATAAATAAATAAAGTATTTAAAATAAAGATAAAATGCTGGCCAGTGTAATATAGAAATGAATATGTTTATTTGCATATATATTTGTATCTGTGTGTTCGTGTGTGTGTGAGCACTCCTCCAAACACACACACATGCACGTGTATATACAGACTGCTCAAATCCTCTGCAAAGTGCTAATACTCTTACTGGAATTATTTCTGATTATTAGCTACCCATGAATAATAAAAGAAGCACATTGCCCTCTCTTGGCTAAGAAGCTTTAAGCGATCTTTCACTGAATACTTACATGCTACACATGTTATTAAGTACAGTACAAACAGTCCTGTGTTAAACAGGTGTCACTCTTTAGTTTTTCAACTGGGAAGACAGAGGCTCAGAGATATTAGGGAATAGTGAGACATAGTGAGACATAACTTAACCAGAGTGAGAGTCAGTAGGAGTTCAGTTCTGTGCCACTGAGGCCCTGGCTTTCTTCGTCAAGCCCACCAGCCTCCTTCCCTTTAAATCACTTTTTTTGTTTTTAAAGATTTTATTTATTTATTTGACAGAGAGAGACCACAAGTAGGCAGAGAGGCAGGCAGAGAGGGAGGGGGAAGCAGACTCCCTGCTGAGCAGAGAGCCCCATGCAGGGCTCGATCCCAGGACCCTGAGATCATGACCTGAGCCAAAGGTAGGGGCTTAACCCACTAAGCCACCCAGGCGCCCCTTGACTCACATTTTTGATGAAGTTTCCTATAGCCCAGCTGTTTATCTCAGTGATCTTCCACAATTCTGTTGTATTCACTTTTCTAAAGCTTTCTAACTTCTGTGCCTGTCCTTGGGCTCAGCTCTTGGCCCATCTCCATTAATCCTCTTTGTGTTTTCCAGCTTTGGAGACATGCTGTCCTTCACCCTGACGGCCTTTGTTGAGCTGATGGACCATGGAATAGTGTCCTGGGATACGTTTTCAGTGGCATTTATTAAGAAGGTAATGCAGACTGTGCTTTTCTAAGGCTTCATTTACTTTCATGTTGCTCTGCTTTGGAGAATATTGTGTCATTGTGTCCTTTGGTTTCTTTGTGTTAAAGGTAGGTGTGGTTGTTGAGAGTATAATGAATATGGGGGTCTGGTCACCTAACTCCTCTGTGGAGATGACATTGTCCCCCCACCAGGATCATAAAGGCTGGGACGTGAGAACCCACAGTCAAGGGAAATCAAGGTGTCATATTGTTAACACCCGCAGATGCAGTCCCTGTGGATTCCCTGTCCAGGACTTGGTTGTTTTCAAGACCTAAGCAGAGTTCCTTCTGTTCTTCTTAAACCTTCTGCCCTCAATGAGGTATTCAGGCAGCAGGAAAGAGGCAGAGTATATTGATCTCTTACGTCCGTGAGTTTAAAGCGGGGATGTAAGAGAAGGGGGTGTGCTTGGTTTCATCTTCTTACGTTGAGCTCACTTACTTGTAATCACAGTGCAGTAAAGTGTCTGGGATTGGAGCCTCCTTCTTTAGGAGGGAGCTAATAAAGGGCTGGAAAAGTGGACTTGGTGTGGGAACAGCTCCCACCGTTCCCTGCAGTTGCGTTGTGTTAAGAAGCATTTGCAAACTTATAATTCTGTTTACAGTCTTTGAACAAGTAAGTAGTTCTGCCTTGATAATTCCTAAATATGATGTTGGATCATGGATCATTATTATTTAATAACTTATTTTTCTTCTCTCTGTAATTGTGAAATGATTTATAAGAGTATTGGCATTTTTCTTCCTATTGTATTGGCAGTAAAGAGGTGTTTGGAATTCATTAATTTATTTTATAAGTATAGATTTCTTGGAAGAGTTTTTAAAATAAAGACTTTCAGAGAATCTGTGAAAAAGCTAGAAAGTCAAAGCGAAATCCAGAAGAGCCACTTGAAATTTTTAAATGTTTCATGTTGAAATCATGTAGACTTATAGAAAAGTTGTACAAAATAATACAGAATGTTTCCATATGCCCTTTATCCAGCTTCCCCTATGTTAACATTTTGCATAATGATGGTACAGTGAACAGTGGTGTGATATCATTACCATTTTTATTTTGGCTTTGCCATTTTTTCTAATAATGTCCTTTGTCTGGTTAAGGACCTGATCCAGGATCCCACATTGCGTTTAGTTGTCATGCCTCCTTAGTGTCTTCCAATCTGACAGTTCCTCCATTTTTCCTGGTCTTTTATGACTTCGACAGGTTTGAAGAGTACCAGTCAGTTATTTTGTAGAATGTCCTTCAATTTGGGTTTGTTTGATATTCAATGGTTAAATTAAGGTGGTGCATTTTTGGCAAGAGTAGCAGAGAAGTGATATTGTGTCCTTGTCAGCACATTGTACTGTGGTACATGATGTCGACAGGCATTAGTAATGGTGACGTTGACCTTGATTATGTGGTTGAGGTGGTTATCTCCTGGGTCCCCTCGTCCTGAAGTTTCTCCTTCTCCTTTTGAAATTAATCCATATCTTGAAAGACATACTGCCTTGAACTGAAGGGTACAGGAGAGCCCTAGTCAGCTGAGTGAGGTGTTGGGAATGGAAGCCCCACAGATCGGATGCTTGCATGTGTTGTGTATGCATTTCAGACGAGAGCTGATGGGAACCCAGGGCCTTCTCAAAAGACCTCTGCATTCTCTTTCCTTCTCTAAGGGCATCAAGCCAAAGGAGATGATTAATGGGAAACACTAGAAAAGAAGGCCTCTTTTTGCCTGTATTAGTCAGTGGTACGAATTGCTGAAGAGAAAAGAAACAACTCTAGATGAGAAAGCCAAGGAAATGGAAGCTGTGTGTTATAAATGCAAAATAACAAATTGCAGAGTTCTGTCCTTCTAAGCAAAAAGATCTAGAGGAGTAAGTTCAAATCTGAGGATACTGGGCTTTGTGGATTTTTTATACTTAACAAAAATTTTAACTCATTCTGGATTTACGGCAGGCCTTTCTTTCCTACATCCAAATTGCCTCGCTTGTCTGTTGTTAGAGCCTCTTTTGCTCTGAAAACAATGCTGTCTTGAATGAGAATTCCTTAATGTTGTGTTATACTTTCATCTGTAGTATAGCTCTCCCTTTTAAAAGATTTTATTTATTTATTTGACATAGGAAGAGACAAGAGAGCACAGCAGGGGGGAGTGGAAGAGGGAGAAGCAGGCTCTCTGCTGAGCAGGGAGCCTGATGTGGGACTCGATCCCAGGACCCTGGAATCATGACCTGAGCTGAAGGCAGAGGCTTCATGGACTGAGCCACCCAGGTGCCCCCATCCACAATATCTTTTGATCTCACAGCAGTCCTTTCCAGAACAGAACAGGCTGTCTTGCTCCTCCGAGCCAGGAGGCGAGGATATAGTCAGTGGCTTGGGGAGGTTAAGTGATGGCATAGGGAGTGGAGCGTCATCAATCCCATGGTTAAGGGCTCTTTCCCCCATGTCATGCACCTGTGCTTTCAAGTGGTGGAAAAAAGTAGCTCTTGCAGACTTGTTGAACCAGCATCGCCTCTGTTCAGCCCTCCCCGACCTCACTGGTATGGAGTTAAGTGATTTCTTCTGCTCTCCATTCTCCTTGGATCTTGTGTGCCCCTGTGCTAACACTTACCACATTCTGTGGATTCTTTGTTCTTTTTACTGGCTCCCACTAGACCATGAGTCCCAGGAGGCTGGAACCACAGCTTTCCGCATGACTTTATCCTTGGGGCCTGGCATGGAGTAAGACATTAATACATTTCTCTGAAATGAGTGAATGAAATTTGTTTTGGAAGCATTTTTTTAAACCCTAACACTTAAAGAAGAGAAGGAATATAGTGACATTGTATTTAAATATATTTCAAGTCAAATTTCAGTCATGAGTGGAAAGAAATTACAAAACTGTCTTTTGTTAAATGATGTGAGAAGGGATTAAGAAGAATGGCAATAATTTAATATCTGACTACTTAAGAAAATGGTTTTCACTCACTGAAATTAAATTAAAAAAAAAGGAAGCAAAGACTAGCAGTCTTGACGGTTTAAATAAAAATTTAAATATTTTCTTGAAAGGCAATACATTTAGTGAATCTCATGTTCTCATTCCTGGTCATTCTCTCTTTTTTTTTTTTTTTGCATTGCTACTTAGATCTCAGTCCCTTATGTGAATCTGAAAAGTAGTCATCAGATAATGACCTTGTAATCGATAGTTTTTGTAAGCTTAACTTTTTTTTTATTCATTAGCTGATTCAAATTCAGCAGTTAGACAACCCAGGAATTGTATGCAGGCAACTGTCTTTTAAATGGAGCTTTATCTCGACAAAACTCAACTAGGAAATGCACTGACAAGAGATGCTTATCTCTGTGGTCCAGACTTGGCTTCCTATTAATGCCAAATTCATACCACTTTGGAGAAATATTTTTTCCCCTGCCAGCCCCTGTCTTCTTCCTTACTGTCTGTTTTCTTCTGTTGGATCTAGGTTCTAGTTTATGAACTTTGTCTACAATAAATGACATTGTTTCATAAATATTTTGAAACATGGAATCCCTTGATGCTAGGATCTAATGTTGCATTTTAAAGACTTGCTGCTTCAGGAGAGGGTAGGAAGGTATGGAGAAGAAAGAACAAAAAAAAAGAAAAAGAAAAAAAAAGAAAAATTAAACAAAACAAAATAAAGCAACACCAAAAACCTGGAACTTTCTGTATTACGATTTGGTTTTCCCTAACCAAGTATAACCCCGGGGCCTTTTCTTGGAAGGAGGGTTTCCTACAAATACTCTTGCAACCTCAGTCCTGTGGGAGGGCTTAGTTCACCCCACAGTGTTCTCTGTGCCTGGACAAATAACCAGCCGGTTCAGTGTAGAGACCCAGTAATTTTTACCTCTTAAAAACTCGAGGGATTGGGGCGTCTGGGTGGCTCAGTGAGTTAAGCCTCTGCCTTCGGCTCAGGTCGTGATCTTGGGGTCCTGGGATCGAGCCCCGCATCAGGCTCTCTGCTCAGCAGGGAGCCCGCTTCCCTCTCTTTCTCTGCCTGCCTCTCTGCCTACTTGTGATCTCTCGCTGTCAAATAAATAAATAAAATCTAAAACAAACAAACAAACAAAAAAACCAAAAACAATACTCGTGAGATTTATGGGCCGCTGCCCAGATAATTTTAAAATATGGCAATGGAGCTGCATGTTCTCTGCGGTATTTTGCTTTGGATAGCATGGAAGAATTTTAAGATTTCATTCTAAGTTATTCTAAGAAGTGTTTACATGCTTTTAATAGTTTGTGTCATTGATTCATGCACTGTGATGCCCCTGGGCTTCGTAGAAGCCATGCAAATACTCCTCTAGCTTATTTAGGTAAACATTTTTAAATGTCTGGAAACATGCAGAGGTAGTATATATCATTATTGCTAGCTCTTCTTCCCTCTTCTTTCTTGTGGTACAGACTTACTTTCATGCAGCTGTGCTCCTCTTAGCCTGGGTCACCTGCATGAGCCAAAAGTGCGTCATGGAGCCGGGAATAATAGAAAGACAAAGAAAGTCGTTTTTTTTGGGGGGGGGGTGACATGGAGAGGGACAAGAGAAATTGAAATTTAACCCCAAAATCATTAATGCTCTATATCTATACTAACATCTGTGGTTTTCAAAATAGATATAGAAAATAACATTTGTTTTTTGGCAAATTGTATGTGCACTAATAAGAAGCCCGTCCACAGTCGTTATGTTCACTCTGTCAGCGTGGGTGCCTTGGTTATTAGTATTCATTAGATGACAGTATTGGGTCATTTAAGCGTCTGGCTAAAACAACTGACACGTAAAGACAAGAGATAGAAGTTAGTTTTAAAATGCCACTAATGGGGGGGCGCCTGGGCAGCTCAGTCAGTTAAGCGTCGGTCTTCCACTCAGGTTATGATCCTAGGGTTCTGGGATTGAGTCCCTCATGGGGCTCCTTGCTCAGGGGGGAGCCTGCTTCTCCTTTGGGCTGCCACTCTCCCACCCCCCCCCCCCGGTTGTGCTTTCTCATTCTGACAAATACATAAATAAATAAGTCTTAAAAAAAATTCTGTGGCTAGTATTGGCCCCAGAATTGTACTTAGGTCTCTAATAATTTACGTTCCTGGCAGTACTCAGCTGTGTTCAACAAGATGCTCCTTCTGTAACCTGCATTAGGATTGTTGAAATGATAGGATCTTTTATATCACAAAAGAGATGAGCTAATAGGAAAGATTATGTTTAAAGGATATTTTGATGAAGGTAAGGGATTAGTTGTATGGGAGAGAAATATATAGAAATAGCAAATGGAAATGGAATATGCATGTGGAATTCAAATATGCCTGAAATAAAGCAAAGACCACAAACTATTTTACCAACATTGAGCAAGCCCCTTGAGAACATGACTGCCAAGAATTTGTAGAGAACTTTAAAACCCTTTAGCAGAAGGTGTACTTTGTATCAGAAAACATTGAGAGTTCTGGTTATATATTTTGAGAAAGGAAATAGTATCAAAAGGATATTTGTGGAAGTAGAGAGTAAAATTGTATTAGAGGGGAATCTTGAACAGAGAGGAAAGTGAGGAAAATGCTATCTTAGGGATCCAGGAATGAGTTGGACCCTGGGTCAGTGTTGTGCTTGTACACCTGAATGCATACCAAAGGGGAAGACATCCCAAATGTGTTCACAGGAACAGAACACTGGGGACTGTAACTATGAATCACTAATGATTATGGCAAACGTGGAAAAAGGTGATTATTGAGAAAGGAGGATTAAAAAGACAGTGAGATTGGTTTTCACACCATTTAATTTTAGGCTCTGTTGGAATATCTAAATGGAATTATACTTTTGGATGCTAAGAATAAGCAATTAATGTACTTCACAGTAAATGCCTTTTTACCTGTTTTTGCTAGACTATCAGGTCCTTGAAGTTCAGCATCCTGTGGGTTTTGCTCATGTCTCTATTTCCAGATCCTAGGACAGTGTAAGCCTGTTTGTGGCAGCCAGTCAATACATATGATTTGGATGAGTGAGAAGAGGGTGTGAAGACTGTAGGGTGGGGGAGGGATTTTGATAGTTGACTGAAGATTCTCTATGGACCCTTGAAAGTACATTCACTTTGGCTGAATGGGGGCAAGAAAAGGAGCATGGAAGACGACATGAGTGCTGAGAAAATCAGAAGTATTGTCAACAAACTTCTGTGTGAGTTCAGTTTTTTAAGAAGTGCCAGAACTGTGCTGGGATCATGGAAAATGGTGGAGGAGGTATTGGTGAGGAAGTCGAGGAACTAACTTAGTTGAGCTAAACATTCTGTTGAGCAGAGGTCTAAAGAAAGTGTTAAAGTGAGAGTGAGTAAGAAAGTGAGCTCAGGACGAGGGTAATTGGATTTTTGTCAGAAAAAGATGGCCTTCGCTTGGTAGATTGGACAGAGGGGAGCAGATCGTGAGGATTAAGGCAAAGGCTTGCCAGGGACAGTAAACACTGGAGAAGCTTATTAGCCATGAAAGGAGCTCAAGCAGCCTTTTGAGAATCTTAAAATTCTCATACTCTTCCTGTATTTTATGATATAAAATAATAGCTTTTTGGAATATAATCATATTGCTATGCTATACTATATTCCTTTTTTTTTTTTTAAAGATTTTATTTATTTATTTGACAGAGATCAGAAGTAGGCAGAGAAGCAGGCAGAGAGAGATAGGAGGAAGCAGACTCTCCGCTGAGCAGAGAGCCCGATGTGGGGCTCGATCCCAGAATCCTGGGATCATGACCCGAGCCGAAGGCAGAGGCTTTAACCCACTGAGCCACCCAGGTGCCCCTACTATATTCCTTTCTGTCCTGTATTTCCCACCCCTGAGATCCAGATGTATCTGGGGGCAGAGAGGCTGTTGGTGTCTGTGTCAGCTACCTCTACTTCCACCAGGGAGTCGTTAGCTAGAAACTAGTGGAGAGGGTAACTGCAGTTGCCATGGGCACCTTTGCATTTTATCTTGTCCAAAGATGGGGGGTGGGGAGGAGGATGAGGAGAAGAGGCCCGATGGGACAGCAGGAAGGAAGAAATCAGAGTCACCGGGGGTGGGGAGGGGGGAAGTGAGCAAATGTCAATTTGTCACGGAACCAAATTATTTAGCTTTTAAGAAAGCAGTCATTATGTTGATGTAATAACAGCCCTTTAGTGTGAGTTGTCAACAGACAGTAATAACTTTTAATGAGGCCTCTAAAATAAAACCTTTATGGTACCCATGTGTTTGGGTTACTGCGATCCATTATTCTAACCCTTATTTTACTTCCCTCTTACTTTGTGATTTATTATGTTTGAAGCCTCCATGATTAATTCCTTAGGGAATGTATTTTAGTGCTTAAGCTATTATTTTAACTTTTAGCACTGCTAATTTAAGTTTGTTCCCATTTGCTAAATTTGAGATGAGAGGAATTTATTTTAACCATAAGAAATTGGAAGAACAGGGGGAGAGAGTGTTTCATTGTAGAATAACAAGGAGAGTAGCCAGTGACTGAGAAGTTGCCAGTTGCGTTGTGTTGACAAGTGTGATTTGTGGGAGTCCCTTAAGAATGTAACAGGGTCATAATCTGAACATAAAAATCATGCATTGTGTGGGTGAAGGAGTAGCCTGGGAATGGAAGGGAATGGCTATTAGTATATATTGAAATTACTGCCTCAAAGAAACACAGGAGTCCTTACACTGTATGTGTTGAAATCATCTGCCCCTGAAAGCTAAAACCTGGCAGAAAAATCCCAGAAAAACCAGACAATAATTCCTTGAAGCGCCATCTCCTTTTTTGAATTGCTCATTATTGAATTATAGAAATAAGATATAAAGGGTGCTTTGTAGTAATATAAGCAATTGTCGCTGACTTGATGTGTTTCTGACAATTCTGCTGTAATTCCCGATACTTGTCATCCTGTGTCCGGTGTTTCTGAAGTGAGCTCCCGATTTCCTCAACTTACTCCCTTCTGTATTTCTGTGCTCTGTTTACTGCTGGTAGTCAATTGTGTCCTCCTTGGCTTTTCAGATAGCGAGTTTTGTCAACAAGTCAGGCATGGACATCTCAATCCTGCAGCGGTCCTTGGCCATTTTGGAGTCAATGGTGCTCAACAGCCATGATCTCTACCAGAAGGTGGCTCAGGAGATCACTATCGGCCAACTTATTCCACATCTTCAAGGGTAAGCCTTCAGTTTCCTCTTGTGTGTGGGGGGAAGTGGTTCTGGTAGATAGCTGCAGTAAAGCCTTGGGAAAGGTTTTTGGTTGGTTTGATCAAATATGTAGAAAAGGAACCTTCATTTGGCATCGAACCACACCATGTACCATACCTATCCCCCAACACACTGATGGCATAGTGACTGACCCGCCGGTGGGGGGGGTGGGATCCCAGGTCTGTTCTTGGTACCCTTCTGTCCCCAGTGCCTGGCTTTTCGTAGGCAATCACTTTTGATATCAGTAGAATTTTACTTTTAACATCATAGGACAGTTTGCTGTCCTAAGTTCTCAACAGTATCTTTCCCTTGTCATTAAAAATAGTGTTTTCTCTGCTATAATGAGTATTTTCATAGATAATTATGAATCTTTCAAGATAGTCTTCCTTCTTAGGCTCAAGGTGATTACAGTGACCTTCTTTTGTCTTTTCTAATGCATGTGTTTTGTCTCCAGAGGCTTGAGCCGGAAGACAAGGCACTTAGCAGGCTGCGGGCTTCGGGGCTCTTTCCCTTCTCTCCACTCAGGCAATCAGTAAGGTTGTCCCTGAGAAGGACACCACTGTACAGTGCTTCTCATAAATTAAAGGATGTGGAGTTGCACGTGGGCAACAAGCCCCGTGAGGTGGCTTACACAAACAGGGAATTCATTGAAAGGATCCGGGGGGACTTTATAGACCCCAGGAACAACTTAAGTAACCAAGCCTTGAGAAGGACAGAAAGTGTGGCCTCCTTGGAGCGGCCACAACAGGCCTTTCCTCTAGTGCACTGGTTGACACCGGTGTGACTTGGCTCCCAGTAACTGCCATCCCTGGTCTCTCACATTGCATTTACACGTTCTCAGGAGGAAATCTGATTGGCCTGGCTTGGGCTGGGGATGCAGGCTGGGGATGTGCGGGAACAGTCAGTAGTTCTCCATGTACCAGAAACATTAGCTGTTGTGTTTATAAGGCAAATCTACTGAAGTGTGTTAGATGTTGCCTTCATTTGGGGGGTGGGGTGGGTGACCAGATTGTAAAATTTTAAGTCACACAAGCTGTGGATTGTGGCCTCAGGGAAAAGGAGCCCATGATCTAAAATGATGCTTTTGTGTGAAACCGCTCTCGAAATAATACCAGATTCACATTTCCCTGAATGTAAAATGTTTAAGTTCTACAGCCCGTGTCTTTTCTCTCAGTCTCAAGGGCATACTTGTGCGTTCACAGTGTGCTCTGCTAGAGTGCAGGGTTTCTAATCTGGCAAGTGCCGTGCTGAGGGTTTTATATACATTAACTAATTTTACCCTAAAAGCAGCGCCTTAAAATAAGTGTGTTCTTCCCCAGTGTTCCAGATGAGGAAACTGTTTTGGGGACACCCCCCTCCAACCTCGTGCAAGGCCACACAGCCAGCCTGCGGGGCACTGGGGTTTGGATTCCATCCTGCCGAAGGCTGTGTTCTACACTTGGCCTCTCCTGAAATGATCTCCGAGTGTAGCTCACCGGCTGCTCCTTGTTTCTGTCTCGGGTCCTTCTTATTTACCATTTACCACATGGCTTCTATGAGATTCTTGTTTCCTTTGGAATTTCTGATTTCACTTCTGTGAAAAGCAGTTTTGCAAATTTCACAAATAAAAACTGATTCTTTTCGTTTTAAAAAAGTTTTTATTTGGGAGTAGATTTTTAGACTATGTACTAGCATTGCCATGGAGACAAAGGAGTTTCCTTTATAATAAGTCCGGGGGGGAAGGATACCCAAGTCCAGTCCCAGATATACTTCATGCATCAGACAGAAAATCATAGCCCCCATCCCCCCCCAACCTCACAACCACACGTACAGCCCCTGGGTTCATGTATTTAAGCCTATTAGAGAAGAAGGGGCGAGCCGGCTGACTGCCTGGACTTCCTACGTGATCTCCGCTCAGCCATGTATCGTCAAGCTAGTAATAGTAATGCCCCTCCCCCCCCCATGGTGTGTCCTTCCTTATGATGGTTGAAATATGTTCTCACTCAGTTGCCAGCTGCATTTTCTGGGCCATACCTTTCTCTCTCATCTTTTTTTGTGGGGGAGATCATGACCTTTATCATGGTCTGACTCAGAGGTAGCCTATTCTGACTTTCTGTATTGTTCTGGGTCTTTACAGGACAGATCAAGAAATCCAAACCTATACCATTGCAGTGATTAATGCACTATTCCTGAAGGCCCCCGATGAGAGAAGGCAGGTAAGTTGCGTTTCTTTGGTCCTAAGACTGTACTCAGGGCTGGCAAATTTGGGGGCAGAGAGTGCCCTCCCCTTCCCATCCTGGGGATTCCTTGGGCCTCCCCGCTGCCCGGGAGCTTGGCTGGCCAGCCTGGAGTCATTCACAGATCCAGTGGGAAGTAGGTGGAGATGCGCAAGCCCTTGTCCTAGGAAGAATGCTAGGAATGTTCCAGAGGCAGAGCCCTTGCATCAAAGGAAACCCAACGTAGGAGCTCGCAACATAAAAAGATGAAAACCTTTCTGCTTTGGGGACAGCAGAGGTAGAAGCCCTGAGATCTTCTGTCATGCCATTGAATGCTCCCTAGGGCAATGAGGTATTGTCCCTATTTTCCTGATGAAGACACTGAAACCCCGAGAGGTGTCCCGCTTTGCCCACAGAAGTTAAGATGGAAAGGACAGGAGGAGGACCACACAGTTCGCTGCCCCTGGTTGAGATAATTATTCCTAAGTCAGGGAGGGTCTTTGCTCCATGATATTTCTGTTGTCCATATCTGTATGTGGGGAGGGGAGTGATCAACCCATTTCCCTTTCTCTGTGCACACAAGAGAAGGGAACCCCTTAAATGTACCCATGTGAAACCCATCCTTTGATACTCTCCTTTGTCTATGGTTCTGTGGTTCTTCTGCAATGAGGTAAAAGATCCTTGTAGAGGGGGTGTAGAAGAAGTGGAATTTTGTGTGTCTTGGAATATAGCTTGCCCTTCAAAGTCCGTTCATTTTTTTTTTTTCCCCATCAACATAGCATAGACCATGTACCTTGGTCACACAATTCACTTCACTTAAAAACTGGGTGGAAATATGAGATCTTCCAACCAGTAGAAAGTGTACTGGGAGCTCTGTGACAGTTACCACTAAATTGTTTTAGAAGAATTTAGAAGCTAGCATGCTACTGAACCCTGAACACTCGAGAATTCCTTTTTTTTTGTTTTGTTTTGTTTTATTATATCATCGCCAAGGATTTTAAACCTCAGTGACTAAATGTGAGGGTTTCTGGTTTGTTTTCCATTCAGAATTGTTTGCTCATTCCTAGGGCTATGTCTGCACGACTAGAGTGACTTTATTGTTTCCTGTGTATTGGGTTGTGTCTCTGACGGAGCCTGGAGCCTTATGCTCCAGGATGGATTTTTAAGTATGGTTTTGCAGGTCAAATCCTAGGTGGGTCTGTTCCTTTTTTTTTTTTTTTTTTAAGATTTTTATTTATTTGTTTGACAGAGAGAGAAAGAATAAGCAGGCAAAGTGGCAGGCAGGGAGAGAGGGGGAAGCAGCCTCCTGCTGAGCAGAGAGCCCGATGCAGGGCTCGATCCCAGGACCCTGAGATCATGACCCGAGCTGAAGGCAGAGGCTTAACCCTCTGAGCCACCCAGGCGCCCCCGGATCTGTTCTTTTTGTATCTAAATCTAAATGCTGGCCTCATGATAACTTCCAGCAGCTCAGCAAACTGCCTGACAGCAGGCTCATATGCTTGCACTCCTGACATAGCCCTGGAGAAGCTTGATCCTTCTTCTGCTGGTGGGACCAAGGACACCTGGCTCAACTGGTAGCTGCCATCTGGTCTGACCTCATGGGCTTTTTGTTTCGCCTATGAAGAGCTTGGATTAGAGGAAACAAAAACTCATGCCCACCCCAGTTGCTATGATTTGGATCCCTGGATCTAGACATCAGTAAGATACGTACACTTTGCTTCTGCCTCTTACACCAAGAACTATTGTTAATCTACTGAATTAGTTTCACACGACCATGGAGAAATCGAGAGCCAGATGCCAATCTGTGCTGACTCCAGAGTAACCATCCCCGTGAAACATAATGGCATATCAGTATAACATTAGGTTTGGATTCTGTGAATCACATTTTTTTAAAAAAGATTTTATTTATTTATTTGACAGAGAGAGATCACAGGTAGGCAGAGAAGCAGGCAGAGAGAGAGGAGGAAGCAGGCTCCCCGCTGAGGAGAGAGCCCGATTCAGGGCTCCATTCCAGGACCTCAGGATCATGACCTGAGCTGAAACAGAGGCTTTAACCCACTGAGCCACACAGGTGCCCCTCAAAATTTATTTTTTGAAAATTAGAAATATCTGACTGAGATGACACCGATTGGCAATCTATTGCTGTAAAGATAATAAATCACAAAGGATAGTCTAATAACATTGGATAATTTAGGAGAACAATCCAACTAAGAAAGATGGGTGTCTGTAATCACATAGCAGCATATCTAGACTCTAATTTAGCCTTTGAAATAAGAATAGCAACAACACAGAAAATTAACTTGAGCTTTTTAAATTGTGTTGCATTAAAGATGAATCAGTGCCTATTGTTTGTCAAGACAAGGAGTATTTTGATTTTTAATTTAAAAAATATTTTTCAGTGAGTTCAGCAAGAGCTGGCTCTAAAAAACTGATTTCAAGTTCATACTGAAGAAAAGTTTGATGTTATTTTCTGAAGGTTAGTGGAACCTGCAAAGCAGAATACCATGCTAACTGGGGGTGTCATGTGGCATATATCCTGTGTTGTTACCAGCTTTTCTTGTGGGAAATTAAACATTCTGAATTTTGGGGGTAAAGAGGAAAATTTAGCAAAGCCTGCCATCCGTGATGATACTTGGAGAGTTTGCCTTGTGCCAAGCTCAGTGTTCAGTGCTTTGTGCCTTATTTCAATTTATTCTTCTATCACTGGAAAGCCTTATTTTGCCTCTTTTCAAAAGTGGAAATTGAGAGTCCGAGGGAGTAGGGAAGGGAAGGAGCCGCTCAGAGTCCCGCCTAGGCCTTGCTGTGCTCTGGGGAGCACCCCATGGTGCGGGAGGCGTTACCCAGAGAATTCTCTGGTATTTGCTGAGTGAAGAACTCCCTGGAGCCTGAAAGACACCAAGCCCGTTTTCTCACTCCAATTCGATTAAAACATAATCTAAACATTTATTTATTGGATTTACAGGAACAGCTTTGTTTATTTTTTTTTTAAAGCCTTAGGACATTGGATAAATTCCACTTCAGTGAAAAAATTTCATTTGTTTCAACTTCTCTTCCCAACTTTGGGCCAGGCACCATTGGTAGGACTCCATTTATCTGGGTTTTTCTTTATTTTTCAAAATGTATGAAATGAATTTGGATGGATGGATTTGAAACACCTCTTTCTGCTTTTACTGAAGAAAAATACCACCATGGTCAGATATTTTTACTTGGCGGGCAGGCTGGAGTGATAGTTCTGTTTTGCATTGACTCAGTGGGCCTTACTGAGAGAGCATGGGGTTTGTAGAGGGTCGGATGTGTTGAGAGCTGGGGTAGAACTTCCCGCTTTGCCATGCTCCACTGGGGGCTTTCCGGTAAGGGGGTGGAGCGGAACATCCTGCTTCCCCGCCTCCTGGATGTGGGACATTCTCCCTTTTTCTGCACAAATGAAGGGAAGGAGTGTTTGTTTTGCAGAGATGGGGCAAATGGATCCTTTCCCTCACAACTCCTTGCCATTATATTACTGTTCTCATAGCGAGCATGTTGGTGAGGTCCCTTCCAAATTTCTCTACATGTATTTATGATTTTCATAAGCATTATTAAAAAACCTTTTTGCAAGTTAAAAGATTTGGTGGTAAAATCAGAAAATATAGATTCAGAGGAGGAAGTTTGAAAGACGACTCTAAGTGCATGCCCCAAGCAGAGAACCCTCACAGTGAGTCACATTGTGTAGCCCTGGTTTGTTCTGGCCAAAGACTCTTCTACCTACATAACTTTCTTCACAGGGTGGAATCATACTACTTGGACTGTTTAGCTGTTTTTTTACTGCTTTTAAAACTAAACAAGATTTTGTGAATATCTTTCCATGTCAGTATCCCTCTATCCATATTTATATCTATCTATACTTTTATATCATCTCGATGGTATAAAATATTCTCCATGGAGCCTCAAGTTTACTCAGACTGTTTTCTAATATTGAACACCAACAAATACATGATGTACACAAGGATTTTTCTATTTTCTCTCTGACCAAGCTTCTATGTTCCTTAGGAGGGTAGTAGAAATTACTCTTTGATTTTCCACCAAACATTTACTGTCTGCTCTGTGTTAGACATAGTGCTCTGGGCACAGGAACACAAAGATGAAAAGGACAGTCTCTGTGCCCCTAAGGCGACCGTGGTCTTACAAAGAAGAGAAACAATGTCAAAGATAATTACAACAATTGCTGTACATATTGAAACTATATTGTCCCTTCTAACTTATTTTAAAATTCCAAAACTCAATAGGCTAAAATAGGCACGGAGAATATTTTTCTTTTTCTTTTCATTTATGTGCCAGGCAGTAATTTCATTTTTTATAAAATAAAATAAATGAAAAGATCCATAGGATCCTTTGGGCCCTTTGTTTTTCATTGGGTCCGGGAGAAAAAGTGGACCTTTCTATTTGCTTTTGGAAGCAAGCTCCACTTTCTGGGGACCATGGAAAGACAGGTTCCTTCCAGATTGCCATTTCCCTTGTTTCTGAATGTGTCATTGTCCTTGCTTTCCTGTTGTCAGCAGAGTGGAAGGTGTCTTGAAACACCTCACGGTATTTGTGCACTTTTCTCCCCCAGGCAGTGGGTGAGCAGGGGTGTTAACATCAAGTTGTAACTGCTAACAGAGTGCTCTGAATTTCCATCCCTTCTTCTCTCCTGCTTGCTTTCCTTTCTGTGGTGGCGATGGCGCCCTTAGGTTGGTGTAGAGAGCAGTGTTGACATCCTTGATTGTCCTCTGACTGTAAGTCCCCACCTTCTGCTCCTGCCCCCACTTGCCTGCGTGTCCCCCCTCACACTTCCCGCCCGCGTGTCTGGGCTCTCCTTGCTTCCTGCGAGTTTATTTTCACCGTGATTGAATTCATGGTTGTGGTTTCGAATCGTAGCCTAGTTTCTTCTCTACTCAGGAAGAGCAGCAACTCTAACTCTAAAATCCAGCCCCTCCCCACCAAAAGAACACTCAAGTGCCTTCCTGAATATGAGCAGTATTTTTTCCACTAACTTACAATGTTTGCACCAAGGTTGTACCCAACTTGATAATTTCAGCTTCATATCTATGGCTCGATATTTAGAAAGAGTATCTGTGAATCATTTCTTTTACTAAAGTCACCTGCAAATCCTCTGTGCTAGGTGGGCCAAAGCCCCAAATACAACTTACAGAAATGAGTCCTAGCAATGTGGAGTGTGGATTCTTGGAGTCCCTGCTCCATATTTGTCCCTTCCTAAAGCACCATACAGTTGACTTGTGTAGACTATTTTCAAGCCTTGGGGTACGTACCACTCATGCTTTGGTTTTGCACAAATTAAGATGATGTGGCTCTTGGAAGACTTGGAGACTTAAAGTGATGGTGCTCCAACACTGGGGGACTCCTTGGTGCAGGCACATTTCCTAGTAAACCTCTCTGCACATGTATAGTCTAAGAAAAGCGGATGAGCCTTTTGAATAGAGAACCATTGCCTTTATCCAGAGTATTTGCTTTTTATTCCATGCTCACTTTTTCCTGGAAGGAGGAAATTCCTAAAAAAACGAGAAGTTTGCGGGTGCCAGATTTCCTTCCTTTGCTTTTGGACAAAGCTCTGTTGTCCAAACAGAATATTCAAAGAGCAATTTGAATACTTCTGCCTGCTCGAGTCTGTTCTTCCGTAAGAAATACTGCTGATATCCAGTTAGGTAGCACCCCCAGGATAAAGTCATGTGAGGCCATGTTGAAATGTGTTTTTCTAACCTAAGGTTTTGTGTGGGTGTGTTTTTCATCAACAGGAGATGGCGAATATTTTGGCTCAGAAGCAGCTGCGTTCCATCATTTTAACAGTGAGTACGCGTGCAGTGTGACCACCCTGTTGGGCAGGAATGGCTCTGGGCATTCATTTATCTCCCCTTGCGGCTTCAGTTTGTGGTTTGTTCTGTGACTTGCTTCTGTGATGAGCAGTAGTAACTAGCAAGGAGGAAGAAGTATGCTTTTGGAACTGGAATGAACGAGGCTTTCCCACAGGAACGGTCTTATAGGACTGGAAGGAGGGGTGTCCGGAACTGCCCTGGGAAGACATTCTGGCAGGAAGGAGTAGTAATCTCTCCCAGTGGGCCAGGTTTATTACACTCACTGCCACTTTATATTTTAATTTTTTAAAGATTTTATTTATTTATTTATTTATTCATTTATTTATGTGAGAGAGAGAACATGAGGAAGAGAGAGAGAGCACAGGCGGGGGGGAAAGCAGATTCTCTGCTGAGCAGGAAGCCGTATGTGGGACTCAGTCCCAGGACCCTGGGATCATGACCTGAGCCGAAGGCAGATGCTTAATGGACTGAGCCACCCAGTCACCCTCCTCAACATCACCTTAGCTTTGCATTTAGGAAATCAGGGGCTCTATGATTTAAAAAAAAATCCACTGGTGTGAGCTCACACTGCTTTTAATGAAGAAGCTAACTGGAGGCTTGTCAGACTGACAGAGGCTCTGAAATTCTGACCATCACTTCCCTGGGCCCCTTTGCAAGAGACAGACAGAAAAGACATACATGGAACCCACTGGTTAACTGCCATGTGCAAATGACCTGAAACGTCAGTGGAAAAGAAGTCCAGCATTTTATGTGGCGAATGTTTAGAAATAAATCAAATGGCATGATTTCCTGAGGCCTTACCCTCTATTTGACTTTAACCAAAGACTGAAAGAAGCACATGTGATTGATTCCCAGCTTACCAAAGAGGCAATTTCTGTTTCTGTGATTTCAAAGAGGAGTTCCACTAGCTTACAATCACACACACATACACGCACACACGCGCACGTATGCGCACTCACTCACACACACACACACACACACACACACATTCCAATACAGTGAGGCTGTTGAAAATTAAAAACCTTATGAGGGCAAACATAATAAATATTCTAGAATCCAAAGCCAATAGCAATGACTACAGTTTGTCATCGAGTTTGATTTTGAATTTCCTGGCTGACAAGAATAAAAAGAAACATATGAGTGTAATTTTCGTTGTTTGATAAAAGAGGTACCCCAGTTCTTCGGGGATGATATACTTCTCCCCCTGCACCTGGGCTATGAAGTGGGTGTTGGTAAAGCATTCGGATAGGTTCTTGGTCCAAGAATGGTTTGGTAGAAGTTGCAGGAGGATTCATAATACGGTTAATCTTTATCGTGGTTCTTAGTGCGAGCAGAAAGCGCAGTATTTAGAGCGTGGTTCAGTGAAGGTATCTGTGGGACAGGAGGAGGGTGGAAAGACGAAAGGTGAGAGATGTTACATTAAGGTCCTAGCCTGCTGTTCTTACCTGGGTGTGGCAGTCGGAGTTGGAATGCCGGGAGATGGGCCAGGTGGAATGACTGTAGCCCCCGTGCCTAGAAGATCAGTTGGCTTCCATGGGACTTCTCCTATGAGACTTCGATGGCTGGAAGTTCCAAGCTGCTATCCTCAGGCAGAAACTTGGAGTGAAGATACTTTTGAGTTGCTAATAAAATAGATGGCCTATACACCTTGGATACGAAACATATACTCTGAATTAACATTCTGTTCTGAAATTGGGAGGATATGGCGTTTCATGCCTTTCCCCATCTCACCGCTGAGCTTCCCACCCCCATCAGCCCCGTTACCTTGGTTCAGTGACTTTTTCCGTTTCTCATTCTTCTCCCGACCCCTCCTCCTCCTTTTCTTTCTTTTTTTTTTTTTTTAAAGGTTTATTTATTTATTTATCTGACAGACAGAGATCACAAGTAGGCAGAGTGGCAGGCAGAGAGAGAGGAAGGGAAGCAGGCTCCTTGCTAAGCAGAGAGCCCGATGTGGGGCTCCATCCCAGGACTCTGGGATCATGACCTGAGCCGAAGGCAGAGGCTTTAACCCACTGAGCCACGCAGGTGCCCCCTCCCCTTCTCCTTCTTTAACTGGCTCTTTTGACATGGTACTCAGAGCCAGGGTGTGGAGTCCAAGTGCATGCTGGCTTTGGGACACCTCGAGAAAGTTCTTTTAGACGGCAGGATGTGGTTGGGTATAGCACATTCAAACTATCACATTGACCCCGTCCTTTGGCGTTTTTAAGGCAAAACCTTATTCTCTGCTAGAGGAGACGTATGTTAGGCCAAGTGTTCAGTCTCCTTTCTGACCTCGCTCCAGTTGGGGGAAAGGCCCCCATGTCTAGTCTCCTGCCATTTCTTTTCCATTTGTTCCATTTTGGTTCTGTTTCTCAGGGGAAGGGTCATTTTGTTTTTCATTTAATTGTTAGCAGGAGAGCAAAGTTGTGCACATGAATTAGCTCATTGCCTGTGGTGGTGGTGTTCTCTGGATAGTTGCCACGGTGAATGAGCTGCAGGCCTGATTCATACTTTGCTTTCTTTTGTGTTGCTTCTAAAACATTTCTCCACCTAGAAGCTGGATCACCTGTTGGAGACAGTTGTAGGGTAAAAGGATGGCAAAGTTGCTTACAACACATGCACACGATTTGTTCCTCTGCTGCGTGCATGGAAGGCTTCTGTTGTAGAAATCCACAGCTCTCTTCAGGATGCTCTCACATCAGGCATGCTTTTTTTGGTTTATAGAGCTGCAGTCACCTGTGCATTTCCAGTGCCTTTCTTTTGCTCCCTGCTGTACAGAGCAGGTCTTTACCTGGATTCTGGCCTAACCATCAGGAACTTTATTGGGCCCTGGAATATAAAGAAAAGCTCCAAGATCACTGACATCCTCACCTTTCTTCTGAAGGGTGGTCCCATAGACCTACATTTCCCGGGCCTCCAAGTGAAGACTTCTGGGGTTCTTCTTGGCATAATGACAGGGGTTAATTGTTGCTGGCTTTTTCTTCCTTTAAAAAAAAAAAATCATTATTTCTGAACCATCTCCCCAGCATGTCATCCGAGCTCAGAGAGCCATCAACAATGAAATGGCACACCAGCTGTACGTGCTTCAGGTGCTTACCTTTAACCTTCTGGAAGACAGGATGATGACCAAGATGGACCCCCAGGACCAGGTAAGTGCCAACAAGACAGCAGCAAAAGCGCATAGGGGAGAGAAAGTGGTTATTAAAGATCTTTTATTGGACTACTACCAAACCAGGAATTTGTAGATGATGATATTGTTTTATTATCATCTTAAAAAAAAAAAATATATATATATATATATTTGAGGTTTTTAAAAAAATTTATTTGAGAAAGAGCAGGGGAAGGGGCAGAGGGAGAAGCATACTCTCTACTGATCAGGGAGCTTCTTTCAAGGCCCAATCCCTGGATCCTGAGATCATGACCTGAGCTGAAGTCAGACCCTTAATGGACATACCCCAGAACTTGGTGGGGGTGGATGTGTTTAAAATTTAAGTGAACTTGGGCTCAGAGAACAAAGCAGATGGAATTATTTCATTATACATCAAACACATGCATATTTTTCCTTTGTTGGATAAGAAAGCCTAATGTCACATGGTCATGAATCTTGGCCCTTGGTCCCAATACCTGCGATGGTAATGGCTTTGGACTCAAGTTCCCAGACACCTTGGGCCATTTGGTTGCCCTGTGTGATTCTGATACAGCTGGAGGAATTAATTTCCATTCTCCAGTGCTCAGTGCCGAGAAAGGGGTGGGGGGCGGTTCCTAGGTTACACCTGATTCCTGGGCTTGCGTTTGTGTCAGTTGGCTATTTGTTTTAATTCTCTGTAGGCCTCTGGTGGTTGTGTGTGAAAAGTTATGCCTCCATCCAAAAGGCTTTGGGGGAACTTTACTGTGTGAGGACAGACTGAGAGGAAACAGCTGGGGGCCCTGCCGTAACCCATTTTCAACTTAAGCAGTGCTGCAGCTTTGGAAAGGAAAACACTCATTACTGGCACGTGAGGGCCTGATCTATCACAGATGTGAGCCCCACATGGGGAGCGTGTAACTGCCGCAGCCCTGCGTCCATGGCACGAGGCCACGCGATTAAGAATGATGGAGAGGCTTGGAGAGGCTGTCCAACGTGCCCCGGACTTTTGGCAAGGCCAAGTGTAATCATCCCAGAGAGAGGAGACTGTCAGCTTACCACTTCTAGTGACGGAAGGCCTTGCATCTTAATGTGGAACGGCCCTCCCCGTTTGGAAATACTTCCTTCTATTTATTGAAAACATATATACATATATATATATTTTTTTTTTCTTATTGTGGTAAAATGGACGTAGCCAAATATTTACCGTTGTAGCCATTTTTTAAGGGTTTGTTTCCATGTAGTCACTTCTTAGTGGTGGTAGAGATCCCTTGTCACTTGAACGCTGTTTGTAAAACCTGCACGTGCCTCTCACTTTGGCTCAACCAGTGTGGAAATCCCCAGACCCAAGACTTCCATCATATTTGGGACACCATTTTGAACTTCTAGGTAATTGACCGAAGTATTCCAAACGACTTGGCCGTGAGGATAATCGTGGGATGAAGCCGGGGCTGGCCAGCAGGGAGAGTGGCGGGGAACGATGCGGAGCCCTAACTTGGGACATCCGTTGCCTTTCATCTGTTTTCCTTCGGCCTGAAAGCAGTGATTCGTTTAGATCCTGGGGAAAGAGGGAATATCTGTAATGTCACTCAATGAAAGCAGCTCTTCCCTCCTCTCTTTTTTCTCCCGAACGCCTTCAGGCTCAGAGGGACATCATATTTGAACTTCGAAGAATCGCTTTTGATGCAGAGTCTGAACCTAATAACAGCAGTGGCAGCATGGAGAAACGCAAGTCCATGTATACCCGGGATTATAAAAAACTTGGCTTCATTGTAAGTAAGCTATCTCCAGTAAGCGCTCTCCTTCCAACATCAGGGGTCTGACCTCAGCCGCAGAAACCTATGTCTCCTCCAAGCGTGTGGTCCTCTAGCGCCTCGCGGAATAGTTTCCCCATTTTCCAGATGTTTAGCTGGTTTCAGCAGGATCCCGTGAAAATCTCTTCTGGCTGCAGTGCAGCGGAATAGCTTGCCGAAGTGTGACTAATACGGAGTTTGTTTATTCAGTTCTGATTAAGTGTAGTGAGCCCGGAATGCATGTAGATTTCATTAACTCTGCATCACAAGATGTTTCAGGTTCTATTGGAAATAAATGGGTGATGGCAACTGCGGGATAGATGTTATTATTGGGTTACTGTTTGGATCACTGACATACATGGATTTCCTATCAAAATCAAATTGAGGGTCTCCTGAAACGTAGTCACAATGAGATTTACGCAATTTGTCCTTTCCTGAAAGTTTTTGTCTTGTTACGGACGTTAGTAAGACAGCTCCTCGATTTCCTTTTTTTCAGTTTGCAAATCAGAACACTGCTTGTCCTGAACGTAATCTGTTGTTTTGTTTCTACTTGGGTTCCATTCTGGCCTTTATCACCGTGACATTTCTCCCGTGACTTTGAGCTAATGAATGTCAACATCTGAGGGTGTAAAATTAGGTTTCCATTTTGGCTGGCTTCTTAAGTGGCCAAAAATGAGATTTTGGCTTCAGTGATTAGAAATCATTAGGCATTACTTTATCATTGCAAATAAACACTCTTCTGTAGTACACACACACACACACACACACACACACACATATTAATCTTTATATACGTATCACGCTTTGTATGTTATTTGGGAAACCCTGTCTTTCATGGGGATCGTCTTTGGAAATGTTTCCATGTTAACATGTATTGTTTCCCATTACTGAGGAGTTTTTCATTTTTGGGATGGACTACAGTGTATGTAACCAAACCCTCTTGCTGAGTAATTCAGTCTTTGAAAGTTACTCTAAGTCTGAAATTGACATCTTTGCCGCCCAGTATTTACATGTATCCATGATCATGTTATTAGGATAAATTTGTGGCATTTATTTTTTAAGGTTGTTGATATTTACCAATTTGTTTTCCACACTGAGTCATTTCCACTTTAGCCCAGTGGATCAGAGTGGCTATTTTTTTTAATCTATCCAGTGTTTCCTAAATTTAAAAAAAAATCTGATTATTTATTGTTTTTATGTAGATAGTCTTAATATGTCTTTTCTAATAAGAATACTTGTCAAATGTATTCTGCTTTGCAACTTACTTTATAGAGGTACTGTGATATCATTCTTATATCATCATATCTTGCATTTTGACATTCCATTTAAATTTTTTAGTAGAATCTATTTTTTGAAAAATTTTAGCAGGAAGTGTCATGGCCAAGAGGCCAGGTGAGAGCTCCCTATACTTGAAGTGTATTGGTGGTCAAGGCTAACAGGTGGTCCCCGCCCTGCTGTCACCCACCTGTGTGTTAGCAGTTATTGGGGATATAGCTGAGGAGTGTGCACGCGGCTCACGTCCTACTTCCCCACCCAGTTTTTTTCCAGGTTTTACTTTTGTGTCTTGAATGAGGCCTGTCCAAATCACGTGCGAAGCTTTGCAAAATCACCCAATCTCTCTTGCCCTCCAGTCATATCAAAATCACCTGGGAAGAGATCAAGGCATGTGTATTTCAAAATGCTCCCAATTGATTCTGATACTCCGTCCCAGTGGAGAGCGTGGGTATAGGCTATGCTTGAGTTACTCCCATTTCATTGTCTTCCTCCACTACCACCTGGATTTCCAGTGCATTTGAACTGTGTAGAAAACACAGAACTCTGGTTCTTGATCCATAGTGCCCCCAAGACTCACTGTGTCTCTCTGCCCCACGTCCTAGTCGGGGACAATTGGATCCCCAAATGCACAGTGTCATTTCTCCTTCTGGCTGTGTGCCTGAAGGATGGAGGGGAGAGGGGAGATTGGGGGAAGAACACTTGCTGGGATTCAGATTATTACAGGTTCCTGGGATTATTACAGATCTCTAGGAATGGTATATGTAATGGGTGTGGGAGGTATGAAACATCTCCCTTTTTATTTTCATGTTCTAGGTGAAGTCATCAGAATATTTCATGAGCCAAAGTCGGAGTGACTTTTCTCAGGGTAGCTCCATCTGTGTTAACGTGGTGTTCATTCCTTCCACAGCTGACTAATAGAGTGTATCTCCGTCTTAGTTTTCAGTGTCTGCTGAGCGTTCTGCTTCAAGTAGTTTAGGAAGAACAATGTATTTTTTAACTGAAAGCTAATTTGATGTGGTTTTAAGGCTTTAGCTCTTATATGGCCTCCTTTCAAAGGACTTGAAAAGTCATTTTAGGAAAAGCAAAGACCTGGAACCTAGAATAACCAAAAAGAGAGTGTTGGTTTCCTTTATTTTTCCATGGTTCTTTTTTTAGTTTTCTGTTTTAGTCCTTCCCCTGAAATTTCTTCCAAGCCATGAGCTTGCATCATTTATTGATCAGAAGAGTTGAGAAATTGGAAAGACTAGTTAGTAATGATTTCTAATGGTGGAGAATTTCCTACAGCCTTGAGGAGCAGAGATACTCACTTTTGAATGCCCAGTCAGCCTGAAACAGACAAGCCTTGGTGAATGGAATCACGTGCTTGTTGCGCCACCTAGAGACCATCGTGCAAAAATGCTGGAAGCCAGCCGTAAAATCTCTAGAGGTTGTAAGCTGCCCGGATGCAGAATTCTCTTTGTGCTTCTGAAAGAGAATAATCTTGCCTGTTCCCTTAATGAACTCCTTCCTGTTAGGAGCAATTGAGGTTTGGATAATCTTTTGGATCTCGTTGAAAAGAAGTTTAATTCATAAGATGAAGATCGTTCTTTATCATTTCCCGTCTTCCAAGTGGGCAGTGCCCAGGAGATGTTAAATGACAGGTTTTTGGAGTCGAGTAGGCCTAGATTTTAATTCTGTCTTTCCTGGTTACCAGCCGTTGGACGAGCCGGCCAGTTGTTGAACCTGTTTGGGCAGCAGTTCCTCAGTTGTGCAGCTGTTTGTCTATTTTAAGGTCTTTGGAATGTCATCAAAGGTCATCTGATAGTGCTTCCTTTCTTTGCTTTTTGGAGAAAACATATCATGGAAATCACAGGCAACCTCTTCAGTTTTCCAAAGTAGAAGGGGCAGTTGCTCCAACAAGGCAAGCAGAGCAGTTGTTAAAGGGTAATAAAGCACAACACCTTTGAGAAGGCAGATGGCCTTACATTCCTTCCCAGCACAGCCTCCCCACAGAGCAGATTCTTCTGATGAAATAATTCTGAAATCTCAATTTAAAGCGGCTAAATGGTGTATTATGGTTTGTCATAATACAGGAAAGCACCTGCTTCTAAAACAAAGCTGCTTAATCTTCTAAGATCTCTCAGTTAATGATTCTCTAGTTGCAGAAGGGACTTGCAGGTGCCCAGGCGGGAGGAGGGGTCCAAGTTATCTGGGATGATGCTAGTTCTTATTAGAAATAAGAGGGTGAGGACGCAGGTAGTTCTCAAGGCACTGGAAGGCAGATTCCCTTATTTAGAATACTTTATTTTGAAAACTGGGGAAATACCTGAATACAAACTGTACCTTATTGATTATAATGACCAAGAACTGTGCAAAATGGTTTTCATACTCTGAAGAATTACATTCCTGGCCAGAGACCCTTCAGAGGTTGTCTTGATGTCAGATTAGTAGCTTCTCTATTTGTGAACTTTACCTTTGTTCGGTCGGTTGGACAGTCATTACAAAGAACATATCTGTAGTTCATTTTTGTGATTGCCCTTGAACCAAGGCAGATGTTGAAGTTGGACAAGGCTGTTGTTTTTGTTTTTTTCCTAAATGCCTTTGCTTTCCCATTCCTTTAGCTTGATTGGGCCCCAGATGATCTCATTTTAAATGAATGAATGAATGAATTTAGTAGGCTCCACACTGGGTGTGGAGCCCAATGCAGGGCTTGAACTTATGACCCTGAGCTCGAGACCTGAGCTGAGATCAAGAGTTGGACACAACCCACCGAGCAACCCAGGTGCTCCAATAAACTCATTTTTAAACTGTTTCTGAACAGTATAATATGTTTTAATATGAGAAGTTATGATAAATATTTCCCTTAACATTTTCAGATTGTCCTAAATGAGAAAAGTGACTACAATGTGGAAGTGAAAAAAGGTCATGAGAAAAAGATGACTTCAGAATTAAGATTCTCTTTTGAAGTGTAGGTTTGATTGTGTTTTGTTATGGAGAGGCCACACCTGGAGAAGACGTAATGTATTTACTCATAGTTCTCAAGAGTGGGAGTGCGCTACACCACATGGGGCACAGGGACAAGCACTGAGGGGCGTCAAGAGACAGAGGGATGAGGGGGAAATGTGGACAAGAGCCTTTGTTGTGGTTTCCATGAAAAAAGCAAGGCAAGATAAGGTAGGCAGGTTTAAGGTTGGCCGGTTTGAATAATTTCATTGGACTGTGGAGCATAGGCACTGCCCCTAGCTGTCTACCTTGTGGTGATGAGGGCAGGGGACAGTGGGCCAGAGTGCAAAACCCTGATAAAGGAGATGTTGGGGTTTGGGATCTGGACTGGAGAGTCTGCTTATGTAATGCATGCTTCCTATCACTAGGAATTAGCTAACCCTGGGAAGGGCAGTTCCTCTAATCTTAGCAAGGACCCAAGGGATCAGAGGATCAGAGAATACCAAAAATTTAAAAAAATGATTAATACAGATTCATGTTAAAATTTTTAGAGGGTTTTCTACTTTCCCAGATGATAGAAGATAATTATGCATCTTTACAGAAGTATAATTATACGTAATTGCATATGCAGTGCTTGGTGTCATTTTAATATATTTTTTCTCAAATACAGATGGCAGAGAATGAAGTGAGATGCATGTTTACCCATGTCTTCCTCCATCTCCATCCCCATCCCTACCACAGGAGGAAGCCTCCTGGTCTAAACGCTGCTAGAATTCAACCGT